AAACCTTCCTATCAAGGCTGGACAGAGCAACCCCACAGGAAGAAAAGTTCCTGAGAGCAGGGATAGTGTTGTGAGGTACTGAAAGTGTAGAGGAGATCCATGAGTAGGCATCCTCCATGGATTTCTGATGGCTGGTGTGTCTTCTGGTCCATTAGGCTATCTTTGTCTGAGATTGTCTATGTGTTCTTCTGACTGTGGCCTGTATTTGAACAGAGGATGTCCAAGTTGGGAGTAAGAACATGACTAAAAGTGTGGTGACTGGAGGGTTGGTGAAGGATTGTGTCTAAGTGTGGCCTGTGCTCGAGCATAAGATGCCTGCCTGAGTTGGGTGCAGGAACCTTGCACTTTTCTCTCTTTCTTAATGAGAAAATATCCTGTGACATTGTATGGTGAAAAGGTTTAATTTTTTTCTTGATTTTAGAATATTTCACATTCAAGAGATTGAGTGTCAGAAGAGGCTTTGGACATTGAACAGTATTGGTTCTGTTAGAGACTGTGAGGCTCATTTAATTTAGACAAAATTCATTTTCATTTTTTTCTGTTGTTATCTATTCTAAAAAAGAAAAAAATTATTCTTTCCTCAATCATTCTGATCACAACCTTCCATTCCTGTATTCCACCCAGTCCCTTCTCCTTCCCATTTTCAGTTTTACTGCTTTTGTTGGTATATCAACAACAATTCATTACAAGATGCATTAAGACTGATATAAACCCTCATGCCAAGACTGGATTAGAAAACTCACTGGAAGGAGAAAGGTGCAAGAGTAGGCAAGAGACAGAGTCACCCTTCCTCCCACAAACACACCATGGTAAAGAACCACAGCATATGGAGAGGACCTGGGACAGACTAGGAGTCTTTTTGAGCCCCTGTGATCCCTGCTTAGTTGATTCTGTGAGATGTTTTCTCCTGGTGTCCTTGATCTCTCTGGTTCCTACAATCCCGAGTCCCCTCCTCTTCCATATATGCTCCCATAAGCTGCAGGAGGAAGTTTCTCTGACATTTGTGCTGGACGCTAATCTATAATATTGCAGAATATAGTTAGGAATCAATTCACAGACTTTTTTTTTTCCTTTTTGGTCAGTCATATTTGGTTCTAAGTATTTCTCTGAGTCACCCAATTTTTGGTTCTTGTGCATTCAGTTAGTGTTGGGCATCGGCTCCCTCTTTTGGCTTGGGCCTCAAGCTAGCCCAATAACTGCTTGAATACTGCACTAACTTCAAGCCACCATTGCCTCATCATATCTTGCAAACAGGACAAGTGTGGAATTAATATTTTGTGCCTAGGTTGCTGTACCAATCCCACCACTGGGAAGCTTAGATGGTTGCAGAAGATGGTCAGTTCAGGCTCTGTATTCTCAAAGATGTAGAGTCCTCATTAGGGTCTCCCACATAGCTTCCAGAAAATTTCTACTATACTAGATAGATTTCCACATCACCTCTTAAAAGCTCCCCTATTGCAATCACCTTTCCCTATGGTGGTATTTTATTTATATTTTAATAAATAAAGCTTGCCTAAAGATCAGAGGGTAAAACTAAGATACTAAAGACCAGGCAGTAGTGTAGTCTCCCAGGATTTGGGAGACAGAAGCAGATGGATCTCTGTGAATGCAAGGCTACCCAGGGCTTCACAAGGTAAATGTAGACACAGAACCCAGTAGTGTTAGCTCACACCCTTAATCCCAGTATTAGAGAGTTACATGCCATTAATTCCAGCACTAAAGGGGAATATAAGATGGGAGGAGACAGAGGGACAGGACTCAATCTGCATTTGTCCAGCCTTAGTAGAGTACAGTCTTCTCTAGTGGCTTGATTGTTTTGCTTTACTTTAGGCTGAACCGCAATATCTGTCTCTTGGTTTTTATTATTTGTATTATACTCTTCCATTTATTTGGCAGTGCCTCTTTGCAGGTGGAAATGGGATGGATAAGAGAGTTAACTGAGCACAGTGCAGTGACAAAGCAAGTGAGAAAGCCAGGAAACAATGTTTGTCAAATTTTTTCTCTATTTTCTAGCTTGATTTTTTAATTCTATGCTTGTGCAAGGATGAACTGAGATATTGCAGAATCAGCTAAATAAAATTGCCTCAGATACTTTTGGTTAGATAATGTAATCAAAACAACAGAGAAGCAAGTCAGAAAAAAAAAGGAACACTAAAATTGGTCGTGGTCATAGAAAGAACCTGGGAATGTTTGGTATTTTTAGATGAATGTAGACTATACCAGGATATAAATGGCAAAAGTCATTAAAGGTGTACAGAGCTCAATCATCTCCTCTTGTGGGATAAGGAAGATGGGACTCTTGAAAGTAATGCAAACAGAGGAGGTCAAGATCAAAGGATTTTAGTGGGAACCAGTTTCCTTGAAAAATTAAGATAGAGGTAATTTGTCTTATTTTTGGCCTAAAATCTTTCTAATTCTGACTTTACCCTGAAAAATTGAGTAAGGCCAAATTGAAAAGTAATGGGTTGACTTCATAGATGGAATGTTGAATCTATTGCATGTTTATTACTGATGACTCATTCAGGTCTACAAAGGAGAAAGCAACAAGTTGAGCAAAAATAAATGATAATGGAAAGGTGGTTTTAGATGGCAGTCAAGTGCTAAAACAGAGGCAGGAAGATCATCACCATTAAAGAGAAGGCCCTTGCTCTATAGAGGAAGCCCATCAAGGTGCCCTAAGAGCTTCCTGTCAAGCCTTCAATTAATGGAAAAATTAGGCAAAATGAATCTTACTCCCAGTAAGCAGCTTCCTACAAAATCTGCTGCAGCTTTTGTCCAAGGCAAGGTACATTTGGCTCTCAGTTAAGAAGCCAAACTTGTGGTTGTTATGGAATAAAGAGAGAATCAAAATTTCAGGTCATGGGTTCCTGGTCTGTGGCTTCAGTTCAGAATTCTTGCAGTCATCTATGTTTAGCAGGGTCAGAGCCCCTGTGAGGAGCCTATGAGAGTTCATTTCATGAAACTTTGAGCATGAAGACTGGGTTGCATTTTGAGATCACAGAATGTTAAGATACCTAAGTCAGATATGAGACATCTGTAATGGATAACTGCATGTAGGGAATGGAAGTAGCCAAAGATATACATGAGAAATTCAGTCAGCACAGACAATTTCGGATGTTAGCATGCCTCTAGGTACAACTCTTTCACTACCAAAGTCCACTAACTCTGGAATGGGATCATCAGTATCCCCAAGCCCTAGGAAAACAGTACCATGACAACACTGTCAACAGCATTAAGCACCAGAGGATGCCATCCGATCACCTGGAACTCGGAAAACCACTTCCTAAGAAGTCAGCTTTAAGTCCATTCTCATTAACAAGTCACTAACACAAACAAACCTTTTCCCATGACAAATATGGCAGTAACAAACACCTCTTCACCAGTCATAGCCACCCTGAAGACAACTGTTCTTATCAAAGGCACATCTGAGACTCAGGAAAAGTACAGTGCAACTGTACTCCAAACCCTAGCAACAATCTCCACAAGAGCTAAGCCACCATATCCACACTACAGCACTGTCACCTAGACAGATTCCCAGCCAGCACAGCTGGGCTCAAGCATAGGCACTGGTACAACCCAATCACCTGAGCATTCCATAGTCCTTTTCCTTAGCTTCTGTTTGTTGTGTCTGGCTGTCATGAGTTATTATAGATGGTATCCACATTATAGATGGTACCACTAAAACCCGTAAGATACATTCGATACAATTGCTGTTCAAGGTAAGCCATTTTTTGGAGCTTGACATTTTTAATTTTGTGTTAACATTTGGTGCAGAAGACAAAGTTTCTCTGTGTATCCCTGACTGTCTTGAAAGTATCTCTGTAGATCAGACTGGCCTAAATTCAGAGACCCAAATGATTCTGACTCCTTCATCTTGTGATTAAAGTGGGGGCATCATGTCTGGGTTTTTTTGTTTTTATATTCTTGGCTGGTGGCCCTAGAATGTAGTTTTATACATATCAAGTATATGCTGTTTTCCTGAGCTTCACTTACATTTTGAATTTTGAAATCTGGCAGAGAAATCTTTCTTAGGATGACAGTATTCATGATATTAATAGTCCCTGAGTCTTATAAATCATTCAAATGCTGATTTGTGAAATTATTCCTACTAATTGTGTTTGCTTTGAATTCTTTTGAGTCAATATGTGTCTTTTGTCTGTATCCATGAATATGCACCACATGTGTGCCTTATACTCACAACAATCAGAAGATGGCCTTACAACCCCTGAACTTGTAGTAGTGAGTAGTTGTGAGCCCCATGTAAGTACTGCCAATCGAGCCCACCTGTCTGTAAGACTGACAAGATCTCTTAAATGCTAAGCCATCTCTTCTATCCTGTTGTTTACTTATGATCAACATTTACATTGCTAATGTTTTTACCTGTTTATTTGTAACTTTAAACATTCATTCCCTTTAGTAAAATCTTAGGATTGGTATAGTTTAAACTGGTTTCTGATGCTGAACTGGAGTGTATGCATAATTTTTCGTAGGAACTTCAATAAAATTCTGTTAGTTCTTTCTACATTTTTGTTCAGTTTATTTTTATGGGGGAGACAGGGTCTGACTAATATGTAACTAATATAGCTATCCTTAAATTTCACTGCATAGGCCTGGCTGCCATCCAACTCAATTAAATTTACCTATCTTTGCCTCCTGAGTGCTGGACTTAAAGGCATGAGTCAATACACCCAGCTTGCCCATCTTTTTTGTAGTTAGTTCTTTCAATTTCTCTGATGTATACTTTGATCTGTTTGCTTGCTTCTCTTTATGCCTCTTAATATGCATTTATCTTGTAAGCCTATATCCTAGACAAAGGATGCAGAAATGACAGGTGAACCTCATTGTTGCTTTTTGTTTTAAAATGAGTTGATGATTTAGAACTTCTTTGTGATGGTATAAGCTTGGGGAGCCCCAGAATCATATGAATATATTGTCAAATATGCATTTAGCATGCTGTCAGTGTCACACTTTCTGTTGTACACATGTATGGGATATTTTAGAATGCGGTGACCTATGATGATGTGCATGTCGACTTCACTTGGGAGGAGTGGGCTTTGCTGGATCCTTCCCAGAAGAGTCTCTACAACGATGTGATGCTGGAAATCTATAGGAACCTCACTGATATAGGTAAGACTGAATTTTCCATCACATTTTAAAATAAAGGGACAACTGTCCCTTGGGTATTGATACTCTTCTGTAATTTTGGTTGATGAGAAAGAGGAAGAATGAGGTAAATAAATTTGGCATGCTTCTAAGGTTCACTGAAGATTCACTTAAATTTTGCACACTTTCCCATGGTATATCATACATTTTCTGATACTGTGTTTTAGGCTACAGTTATGAAGACTATAATATAGAAGAACATTGTCAACGTTCTGGAAGACATGGAAGGTAATTTTCATATGCAAACTATTCAAATGTGCATATGGAGAAATTTTAACGTGTCCTGGAAGTTTTAAACAAAAGCAATAGTGTTAATAAGCACAGTTTAAAGTATACTGATAACTATTAAATTTTCAGAAAACTAAACACCCCAATGTCAGGTAGTTGATATGTGTTTGCAAAGCATTTTTCTAAGAAAGAATACAGGATAACAGTGCCTTAACTGATATCCCCATTTGAATTACATCTCCATGATAGCTATGCTGTAGAACAGCCTATCTGTTTAGTTTCATACTACTCAGACATTACAAAAAGTATATGTGTTAAGTAGGTGATATGTATAGATCCAGAACCTTCTAATAAACAAATAGTTCAGAGTAAACTAGTGTTCCTCATCTACTTGTGACTTTTCTAAGTTTAGTGAGAGGGACATTTTTTGAGAGCTAAGAACATTGTGGGCAGTGGTGGCCACGCTTTTAATCCCAGCACTTGAGAGGCAGAGGCAGGTGGATCTCTGTGAATTCAAGGTCTACAAGAGCTAGTTCCAGGGTAGGCACCAAAGCTACCGAGAAATCTTGTCTCAAAGAAAACCAAAAAAAGAACATTGTTGAAGAGAAACCTTAATACTTGTACCACATGTCTATGAGGAATAGAAATTCAAGTTGTGTGAATGCAGTGTGGAATCATTTTATTATTCTTCCTTTATCAGTGTATCATATGTCACTCTGGATAAAAACCATGTGAACATAGGGATATGAAAGAAGCAACAGAACTCACAGAGCAATGAGAAGATATGCAGTAGTCACCATTTTGAGTAGAAGATTTTAATGTGATACAAGTTTAAAATTATTTTTTTCCAACAATTGGGAGTACATTAATAAGCTTACACTGCAGAAAAGTCCTATGAGTAGTGGAATGTATGTCTGTTTGTTCTCGTTTATTTTACAAATATAGTATGAGTCACAATATTAGAAAATTTATGAATGCAGTATGTATGTTAAAGTTCTGAGTTCTTCCCAGTTCTCTTCAAATATATGAAGAATCTCATATAGAAAAAAGATATTATAAATGTGGGCCCTATAATAAAGACTGTTACCATTACACATACCTTCAGAGACACAAAACAACACTTAATAAAGGAGTACACTATGATTGTAAACAATAATATCATTTTCCTCTTAACATTTAGACCAAATTTTAAAATTAATTCATAGAGATATAAATATTTATCAGTGTAATAATGTGACAAAGCTTTTACTTGTGTCTATTATCTTTACAGATACAGAAAAGGCCATACTAGAGAGAATCCCTCTGAATATACTCAATGTTCTAAAGCCTTTTCACATCATAGTCATCTTCAGAGGCATGTAAAAATTCATCCTGGAGAGAAACCCTATGAAAGTATTCAATATGGTGAAGCCTTTACACACAACAGCAGTCTCCAAGTACATAAAGGAACACATGTTGGAGAGAAAACCTTTGAATGTAAACAATGTGGTAAAGCCTTTGCATGTGCCAGTAGTCTCAAAAGACATGAAAGAACACATACTGGAGAAAAACCCTACAAATGTAATCAATGTGATAAAGCCTTTTCACAACACAGTACTCTCCAAATACATAAAAGAACTCATTCTGGAGAGAAACCTTACAAATGTAATCAATGTGATAAAGCCTTTACACTTCACAGTCGTCTCCAAATACATAAAAGAACTCATTCTGGAGAGAAACCTTATGAATGTAATCAATGTGGTAAAGCCTTTGCATGTGCTGGTAATCTCCAAAGACATAAAGGAACTCATGCTGAAGAAAAGCCCTACAAATGTAATCTGTGTGATAAAGCCTTTTCACGACAAAGTCATCTCCAAGAACATAAAAGAACACATACTGGAGAGAAACCCTACAAATGTAATCTGTGTGATAAAGCCTTTTCACAACACAGTCATCTCCGAATACATAAAAGAACACATACTGGAGAGAAACCCTACAAATGTAATCAGTGTGAAAAAGCCTTTTCACAACACCATAGTCTTCAAATGCATGGAAGAACACATATTGGAGAGAAACCCTATAAATGTAGCAATGTGGTAAAGCCTTTGACTTTCCCGGTAATCTCCATATACATAAAGGAACACATACTGGAGAGAAACCCTGTGAATGTAAGTAATGTGGTAAAGCCTTTGCATGTATCTGGAGTCTTTGAAATAATGAGGAAAAAATCATCATGCAGAGAAACCCTATAAATGTATTAAGTGTGGTAAAGTTTTGCACTTCATGGTATAGTTTATACAAGAGTTAAAGTTTCAGTGTTAACTGGTCTCGTAAAGTCTTTTCATATTACAGTTGTCCTTGAGGACCTAAAAAAATTAATACTGAAGGAAATCTGGACATAAAGGTTTTGGTAAGATCTTTAGCCTTACATTCATTTACATGAAATTATTCTGGGGAAATACATTGAAATCACAATTCTTAAATAATTAAATTAATTACTTTAAATAATTAATTATTTTTAAATTACTTTCAATAATTTATTATATAATTAATATTTAAATCTATTTTAAATTATATAATTAACTATTTTAAATGATATGATTACTTTAAATAATTAATTATCCTTAAATAATTAATTATTAAGTTAATTATTATTGATAATTAAATTACTCAATTATTAAATAATTAAATTGATTGTTATTAATTTATTATTATTGATTACAATTATTAAATAATTAAATTACAATTATTCTGGGGAAATACATTGGAAAATTACATTCATTTACATGAAATTATTCTGGGGAAAAAATGACAGGTGTTACCAATCTGTTCAAACATTATGATGTCCCTCTTTATTTTGCACCTCCAAACTCACATAGACAAAAGCTCTATGAATTTGAATTATGAGATAACCCTTTTTTCTTTCACTATTCTCTTCAATTACATGAAATATGTCATCCAGGTATAAAACTTAATGGATATGTGTTTGTGTTGTTGTGATAAAACATTATGTCTAAGTCAATTTAAGAAAGAGTTGGTTCTTGGATCTAGAGGGATACCGAAATACCATAAACGTGGCATGGAAACAGGTGTCAAACATAGAAGTTAAAGCAGACAGCTGAGAACTCACATCTTCCACCTGCAGCCTGAAGTGGAAAGTGGAAATGGTGCGTGGATGTGAAATTGCATGCTCACCCCCAGGGACATACTTTGTTCAGCAGGGCAAGCATTATGTAACTGAGAAAGATTGATTTCTCTGACATCAGTCCTACAATGCTTGCTTTCTGTTACATGAACTAGTACATGGTGAATATAAACAGTAGGTAAGCCTTTAGATGCTTCAACTCTAAATGTGTACAAGAAAAAAACATTTTTCAATGAAAATCAGATTGTTTAGTGACTTAATTTTACTTATTGCTGTCAGTGTGTCTTTGTATTGGTATGTTCATGTGCATGCTGATTCCCAAAAGTTTAAACACTTGGATCTTCTTTTAAAAGAATTAGAGGAATTTGTCAAAAACCCACCCTTCATCCTGGCAATGAACTTCTCTTAACTGCTTAGCCATGCCTCTGGCCCTGTAAATATGTTAAAACCTTCATATATCATCTTGATGTCAGGAAATAGGAAATAATTTATTCAAAAATTTTCTATTCATGTAAACAATTTAGTAAAGACTTTAGACATAATTGTTTAATTCAATTTCAAGAAAAATGTTATTTGATTTCTTTTTCATTATAACCTTGAAGTTAGTAAATTGGTTACCATGTTCTACCAAGATAGATGGTGGATATTATTGCAGTGTGGTTTCTGTTTTGCAGCCTTTGAGGTAGATGCTGAAGTGTATGTGGTATATCCATTTAGAGAAATTTATTTTGTGGTCCTTATATTCCTTCTTGGATTTCTGTTCATCTTCTTTTATTCTTTCACTATGTAATAGGCATTTTTCTGCTGCCATAGAATGGCATGCCCAGCATATAAGTAGTCCATTATTTATTTAAATATGAAGCCGTGTGTGATTATGCTTTTGAAGAAAGGATGTCCAAAATGGTGGGCCTTTTCTGGTTTTGTTTTTTATGTTTTCACAAATTCCCTTGAGATGTTGTACATTATCCAGCCTGGCTCTGATGTCAGTAATTAATATGGGCTACATTTGAATTCATGATATCATATATCAGCCTCCTTAATACAAGTCCAAGGGTAGATGATGTAACCCCCATGCATGCTGTTTTATTAACATGTTTAAACAATGTCGATGTTAAAATGCTTAATAGAATAGAATAATAATAATAATAACCATTAAATACCTCATGTGTATTCAAAGCAGCATTTTCATTTATCTGGTAGAGATGTACTAATGTAGGATAATCATCAATCAACTATGTATTTCACCACATATCTTAATGTGCTATGGATGTGTATGTGTGTGTGTGTATAATTTGAGTTTCCATCTTTCTTCATGTCCCTGTTATTTATCGATTTTATACTTTATCTTGAAGTGCAGCATTCTAAGAGAATTATTCAGAGGTGCCAGATAATGCAATGGCAATGAAATTTATTTAAAAATTCTGTGTGTGTGTGTGTGTGTGTGTGTGTGTGAGAGAGAGAGAGAGAGAGAGAGAGAGAGAGAGAGAGAGAGAGAGAGAGAGAGGATTATGGCTTTTGGGCGCCATGATACACATGTAGAGACAGGAAGACAACTTTGTGGGATTTCTTTTTTTTTCCTTCTTCATATGGGGATCAAGATGAGGTTTCCAGTCTCACAACATTGCCATTTCCCACCGAGATATATCATTGATTCTCAAATATTAGACGATACATTATATCACTAAAATGTTGTCTTCTTTTCAGATTTTAAACATATTTTCATCCAAGTATAGAGGTAAACAGAACAATTTGTATAATAAATCCTATTTGCAAATGAAAATAAAATACTATTAATCACCTTATTTGGACTGTGTTAGTTTATTTTTCAATGCCAGGAAATTGTTTCTGTTGATGAATTTGGCTTCTGCCAAGCCTGATGACTTCAGTTCTGTCTCTAGGAAGCTTATATCACTTCTAGAATTTTTTTCGCTTATTTCTACATTTGGGCTATAGGATATACACACTTCTATTTTACATGTTATATTATGTTATTTTATGATATGTTTGGAAACTATAGAGTTTGCTCAATAGTATTGCTTCTGTTGAGTAACCAAGTCTGGATCCTACCACCTACATTACATAGCTTGAAAGTACGTGTAATTCAAAGTCCAAGAGATCCGATGCCTCATCTGGCCTAGGGCTCCAGATATGCAAATGGTAAAAAGACATCTATATTTGGGATTAAATATTGTGAAAAGGTTTTCTTCATGTATACGTTATTTTAAAAAAGAATTTAAAGTAATTTAGGTATATAAGTCTTGCCTCTGTGTATACCAAATGCATGTCAGTTACAACTGGAGACCAGAAAATGGTGTCAAATCATGACTGAAGTTGTGAGCTCTCTCTTCGGTGCTGCAAATCACAACAAGGCCCTGTGGATGAGAAACCTTTGCTCTTAGATGCTGAGCCATCTACTCAACCCCATGAACATGACATTAATAGCAGTAAAGTGGGAATAGTTGATCCTAAATTCATCTTTACCTCAGCCCCAATGATTCAGAAAAAAAAATAGAAGGTTGGTTGCATCAGACACTGATTTAAACTTGGTGCCTTAAGATGTTTCTGAGCCCAAATTTCCACAAAATGAAGGAAGAGTACAAAAAAGGATCAAGAGAGAAACTAACAAGTTTTTTAAAAGTGGCTAACCAATTGTCCAAAGCCACAAGACTGGCATATAGGCAGTGATGTAAGCCCACAAGGACACATGCCAGGTGTCCCCCTACTGGAGTTTTATGACTGAGTTCAAGGCAGTGATGGTAATGCACAAGTACACGTCAGGTGCACCCCTGCTGGAGTTTATGTGTCCTCTATGGAGAGAAAAGGACCTCATAAGCATGAAGTCTGACTTGCCCAAATGATATCTTCTGTTTCCTTAATGTCTTCAAAAGCTTCAGTTAGCATCCTTTTGTGATGGTGACTCCAGATGACATCCAGGTTATAAGTAGATCCTGAGACCTAAACAGAAGTCACCCTAAGGCTGGGACACTCTTACATTTACAAAGAGATGTGGGGTATGGATAAACTGTTAGGGTTGGAGTTTTGGATGTGGGAGCCAGAAGATCAAATGACTGGAGGAAATGATCTGGCTCTCCCCGGAGACAAGCTGGCTCCTAGTGAGCTCTCTGTGTCTGTACAGCTGTGGTGGTTACGCACCTCCAGTTCTTCCACTCTTGCATTATTTTTTGCAAATACAATGCAACTGCCAGTGACAGCACCATGTATCACTCCACCTGCTCTGCCCCACAGTGTTATCCCTCCAACCGTCCTTGACATGAGTAGGTGTATCTCCCTTTGCCTGACAATTAGGCAAACAGTGGACTGAATGAAACTCAAAATTTCCTTGAAATTACAGTTTAAAAGAAAAAAACAATCTTGCAGAGAATGTGTCTCCTGAAGAAATATTTGCACCATACCTGAACAAATGCCTTGCAAAAGACAGGAGCTAAAAATGTAGGAGGGTTTAAAGGATGGTTAAAGGTCCATTATATGACTTAGTTAAATTACTTGTGCATACTCTTGCTTTCTATCAAAACAGGACACCAAGAATGGTTAATTTCTGTCTTCATCAATGTTTGAATCCCATTGAATACATAATCATGTTTCTGATTTTCTTGATAAATTGCATTTTTCTTTTATATCCTCTTTTTTAGAAAAAAAATGTTTTAAAGAATAGTGTCACTATGAATTCCTTGTTGGACTTGGGTCTTCCACTAAATAACTACACTCTTCCAAAATATCAGAGAGATTTTTTTCACCTTGAGGCAGAGGGCCTGTATTATAGTTGGGCACATCACAATGAAGTAATTAGCGCTTTTAATTCATTATTGAGAATGAGTGGCTGAGTCTGACTAATTAAGAATAGTTCAGACACAGGCTCTGGTCCTAACTCTTGTCACAAGAGAGTTGTCCCACCAGCCCTCCTGTTGTAAAGTTTACTGTCTTGGAACTATGAGCAGCACTGTCTTTTTTTTTTATCATCGAGTTTGGAGTTTGTTATAACTCTTCAAAGGACCTTAGCAGAGATCTGTTCTTATTCTCATTCTAGCAATATTGAAATCCTGGCTCATAGAAATTAGTAGTCTTTAAATATAGTTGTATAATGTTTTGATTTCTGACAAAATAAAGCTTGCCTGAAGATTAGCAGGCAGAGCTAGCCACTTGTTAACCATAGAGGCCAGGCAGTGGTGACACACCTGTTTAAATGCAGCACTCGGGAGTTTCACACATTTGAACCCAGCACAATTGACAGGTGGAGACTGGAATATAAGGTGGGTGGAGGTAGCATCTTATCCTCCTTTTGTTTAGAGGATCCAGAGAGGTAAGATTTGACTGTGGCTTCTATGTTTCTCTGATCTATCATATTATTACACTGATGTATGA